ATGCTCTGATGTCCTTAACGTTGTTTGGGTACTCCCAATTTACAATAGCTTGCACCTTCTTCGGATCCATTTGTATTCCGTCTACTCCAACTACGTAGCCAAGGTAAGTCACCTCAGTCTGGTGAAACTCGCATTTGTCTACGTCTAGTTGGAGTCCGGCTTCTCGAAGGGCGTTTAGAACAGATCGTACATGCTCCTTATGTTCATGGAGATTCTCACTGTAAATCAGGATATCGTCGAGGTAGGCCGTGCAGAAGACGTCTAGGAACGGGCGTAGTACATCGTTCACGAAGTGTTGGAACGTGCTCGGCGCATTAGCTAGTCCAAAGGGCATCACTAGGTATTCGAACAACCCATATCGAGTGCGGAAGGCTGTTAGCCATTCGTCTCCTTCAGCAATTCTCAATCGGTTGAAGGCAGCAATAATATCGAGCTTCGTGTAATACTTGGCCTTGCTCAGTCGGCTCAAGGTCTCTTGGATCAACGGGATTGGGTAACGGTTCTTAACAGTGGCGGCGTTTAAGGCACGGTAATCGACGCAGAAGCGTAGTCCGCCGCCGGGTTTCTTAACAAAGATAACAGGGGAGGCGACTGGGGAGGAGCTTGCGCGAATGAATCCCTTCGACAGGTGATCTTCGAGGTACTTGCGCAACACTTTGAGTTCGTTCTGAGACATGCCATACAGTGGGCCGAACCCGTGCTGTTTGCCGGGTATTAGTTTGATCTTGTGGTCGTAAGGCCGTCGTACAGGCAGCTTATCAGACTCTTCTCGTGAAAAGACGTCTATCAGGTCATGATACTCCTGAGGGACTTTCGTGAGTGGATCGGTGTGCTTCTTCTCAGTTAGTGCCTTGTCAATGTCGGCAATGCTAACAGCACAGATTTCATAGCCTCTTTTGCGTGCTAGGCTCATAAACGGAGCAGCACCTATACAGTAGATGTCGAGTTCTGGCTGCAACTTCGACGAGTCGTTCTGCTCGTCTGTTGGCTGGGCACTATCAGGGTCGGGTACAGGTTCGGGTACAAGTTCGTTCAACTGGCGCTTCATCTTAGGTAGCCAGTGGTCGTGCCGTTGTCGTGGCACATGCTTAAGTTTTGGGTTTTGAGGGTAGGCTTCATCATGCCTGTTGTTGCTCCACTGTACCTCAGGAGAGAGAACAGGAGTTCTAGTAGTTCTAAGACAACGTTCTTTACATCGTTGAGCGGTGAAGATTAGTCTTTCCTTGTCGTAGTCTAGGTTTACTCGGTGCTTGTTCATCCAGGGTTGGCCAAGTATTAAATTATGACGGCCGGTGTTCGTGACGTAGAGTCGTATAGATTCGTTGTGATTGTTGTGTTGTAGCTTCAGGGTGACAGTGTGAGACACTTCTCCACCGTCGAGTACAGTTCCAGTAAATCCAGTCGGGTAAATAACGTAGGGCAGCGGGTCTTGACGTAGTTTTAGGTTGCGCGCGAGGTCTCTGTGAATGTATCCAATACCAGTAGCTCCAGTGTCAACTAAGGCTTTAAGGTTACTCTTAACACCGCCTTGTTGAACCGTACAAGGTATTGTAATACAACGTTTCCAGGTATCAGTCTGAGATTCAGACCAGAGTTCAGCAGAGATTCGGTGGGTGCGCAGTCCCGGGGAGCGACTTATCCTCGGGACGAGGCTTTTCCCTTCTGGGATCGGTTACGAGAACGTCGTCCTCGGGATCGCGAAGGTCGCGAGGATCCTGACGAGACAGAACTAGTAGACTGGGTACGGTCGTGGTCACGCGCGCTATAGGATCGGATATGCTGAGTAGGTAGGGGAGCGCTGCAATCCTTAGAGATGTGACCTTTCTGGTTGCACTTAAAGCAGCGGCCTTCCTTAATCCTCTTCTGTCGTTCGGAGGAACCAGCGGGGGCGTATGCTGATGCGTCTATCTCCATTGCGTCGGGGTGGGTTACAGGGTAGCGTCGTGGGCGGTCTGGTAGGAAACGGAGGTTATTATCGTACGTAGATATCAGGTTAGCGTAATCGTTAAGGTCGCTAGGCAAGGCTTCTCCAACCATTGCACGTTGAAGTTCGTGGGATAGAGAGTTCCGGAGGGACGCGATCAGGCCAATCTCATTTAACCCAGTGTCAGCAGCTAGTCGTCGGAATTCGGCGAAGTGGGAGGTGAAGCTGCGCTTTCCTTGACGGAGTCCGCTTAATCGACTAAGAGCTGTCAGCTCCTTGTTTGGGTCTCCGTAGGTAGCTTCAAGAAAGGTAACAAGCTGGTCTACATTATGGATATCCTTGTCCATAAGCGGGTCGATAAGAGCTACTGCGTCCTTCTCAAGTCTAGAGTGAGCGTATAGCAGGCGGGATCTTTCGTTCGGGTATCGGTCTGCGTTTCCCTCGAGCTTGTACCTAAGCTTGCGGACGAAGGCAGGGAGGTCCTTTCGTCGGCCATTGAACAGAGGCGGGTCAGGCAGACGGTCGGTTCGGGGAAGGTCCTTCAGGTTCGCGTTGGGCGGCGTCGCAGGATTCGAGCCAATTCCAGATAGCTCTTCTAGACGAACTTGATCTCCCTCAGCGCTGGTTCGAGTAATGGCTGGGGTAGCAGCAGGAGCAGACCTAGTCTTAATAGACTCAAGCTCTTGGCGAAGCTCTAGAATCTGTTGAGAGTGTCGGTTTTCTTGTTCAGCTAGATTGGCAAGTAGTGCTTCGTTGCTAGCTTTCAATGCAGCGGAATCAGCTTGGATAGCATTTAGCTGATTCAGGATCAATTGCAACGCGTCAGGTTGCCCTTGAGTAGTCATAGTGGTGTGACGCAACGTAATGTCACAAGACGCTACGAGCACGTGTTTAAGAGCTTACAAGAAGCGTTAATTGTAGCTACGTATAATATCTAGTGTAATACAAGACGTTGCGTAAGGAACAGAACAGAATGCAAAGCGGTGAAAGATATAGCTAGGGCCGTGCGCGGCGCTCAGGCCTTAGCTGGCCAATTAACAGATTTCGGGTGGACTGGCGAGCCACCCGAAATCTGTGCGTTCAGGTGTTAGGGGAACCACGGTGGTTACCGTAACAGTGCGCTATTATCTTTGCTCTCTTTGTAAGCTTTTTAACAGCCTTAACTATTAAGATTAGTAAGCTATCTATATACCTCTAAAACCTCTTAAGAACTAGCTTTGTTTAAGACTCTAATTCTAAGGTATTACTTAGAGTCTACAACTACTAGAGACTATTCTTAATAGTAGGTAATAGTAAAGTACGTAGGTAGATATTAAGCGTTAATACTATAGCTTCTAGATTAAATAGAACTAAGCTAGCGTCTTAGAAGCTTTCTAGAATATTACTCTTTATAATTAAAGTGTTATAAGTAGTAATAAAGTATAGCAAGAACTCTATTTTAGTAATATAAATAATCTTATTATATATTAGCTTCTTAGCTTAGTATCTATACGCCTTCTTTAGTAACGTAAAACACTAAACGTTAAGTAGCTATAGTAGGTGCGAAGAGTGCGTAGGTATATAGAGAGTAATTATCTTCTTCTTCTTATAGAGCTAGTAGAAATTAATTAAGTTATAGCTCTTGTAGCTGTTAATAACTAGTAGGTAATAGCTACTAATAACTCTCTCTTTTATATACTTATTAAAGTGCTCTAGCTACTTAATACTAAGCTTATTTATTATCTAGCTATTCTTAGAGACCTTAATAACTTAATTCTATAGTAGGTCTTCTTTCTTATACTAGGCTAAGAGGTAGTGCTTACTAGTAAAGATAATAAAGAGTAGAATTATCTACTCTATTATATTAATGCTCTAAATAGCTATAACCTACTTCTAATTACTCTACTATACTATCTTTAGCTATTCTTAACGCTCTACTACTATAACTACTACTCTAGTTAATATTACGCCTATTATAAAGCCTATCTTACTAAAGTTATAGGTATCTTTATTCTAGATACTATACTTAGCTTTAGTATTCTATACTAGGCGGAACTAGTCTTCTATAATCTTAGAATTCTCGCAGAGAGCTTAAAAATAGTTATACTTTTAATTAAACTTAACTTTAAGCTCTAGACAGCGCTTAATAAAGTTTATAGCTATTATAGACAAAAAGAGGCCTACTAACAAGTATGCATTTATTCTATATACAGAAGAAGAAAGATAAGAGAAGAAAAGTTCTTCTTATACGTATAACTTGCCTTTTATAGGCCTTGTACTTTACTACTTTAGTTAGCGCTAAGTTATATATTATATAACTAGAGTAGTTTACTTAATATAGCGTAGCCTCTTATAATAGCCTATCTCTTATTAACTAGGCTCTAGTTGCGGACTTAGAGTAAATTATTAGCTATCTTCTTAACGTTAGTAAGCTAAAGTAGGTATTCTTACTCTACTAGCTTTAGAATATATTAGATAATTACTACCTCTTCTAAGCCTTAAAGAGCTATTAATTTAGATATTATATTATATTATTAAGGCGTTCTAGTAAGTTATCTTTATAGTGTACTCTTAGTAACATTATAAGTAGCTACAGCGTGTTATAGCTTAAGTATTACGTCTTATTAGATAGTCTATAAGGTAAGCTATATATCTCTTTTATCTAAAGTCTTTTTTACGTTGCTTAGTTAAGATATTATAGTGTACTTAAAGTTTAGTTAAGTCTTAGCAAAAAGGTTCTACTCGCTTAAAGGTTCTACTTGCTTATTATCTACGTTAATCTTTCTTTTTATGTTAAGAGCGGAAAAAGACCTACTAATAAATATGCATTTGTTCTATATACAAAAGAAGAAAGATAAGAGAAAAAAGGTTTTTCTTACGCGTATAACTCGCCTCTTATAGACCTTATGCTTTACTACTTTAGTTAGCGCTAAGTTGTACGTTATGTAACTAGAGCAGTCTGCTTAGTATAGCGTAGCCTCTTACACCTAGCAGCGCTGTGTGGCCACTAGCTACACAGACGTTCTCTAGGGTAGGTCTTAGCAAAAAGGTTCTACTCGCTTATTACCTACATTATAAGCAACTTGAAAAAAGACTATTAACTAACGAAATCTATGTCTATAATATTACTAGCGAGTCGAGCGCAATCAGATATATGCACTAGACGATCGAACTCGCCACTCGTTTCACACATAGCGCGAAAGGCGCTTTGAGGGTTACGAAGTAGAACCCAAGGAGCGCCTTGTTCAATGATAGCACCTTGATCTAGGACAACAATGCGATCATGGTCTGCAACAGTGGCAATACGATGGGCCACTGTCACAATCGTGGCGTCGAGGCCGCTCAAGACTGCCTGCACCTGGGTGTCGCTGGCGTGGTCAATGGAAGCCGTGGCTTCGTCGACGATGAGAATGCGGCTGCGCCACAGGAGAGCCCGTGCTAGACACAGCAGCTGTCGTTGTCCCTGCGAGAAGTTGGCTCCGCCCTCGATGATAGACGTCCCTGCGTGCAATCCACTTTCGGCCGTGCCGGACAGCTGCACGTGGTCAAGCACTGCGTCTACCTCTGCGTCCGAACGCTCGAACAGAGGATCTATGTTGGACCGGATGGTGCCAGCGAATAGGCTAGGGTCCTGGGGTACTATAGCAATTGATTGACGGAGGCGGTCCAGCGCTATTTGACTGATATCCACGTCGTCTATGAAAATTGCACCCTTTTCGGCTTCCAAGGCTCGGAAGAGGGCAAGGCCTAAAGTGCTCTTACCCGCCCCCGTACGGCCTACGATGCCAACTCGCTCCCCATGATTAGCGCGAAAACTGATATCGCGGAGGCACAGATCTAAGTCAGGTCGGTAGCGCGCTGAGAAATGCCTAAACTCGAGAACGCCGTGCGATGGCCAGGAAGCGTGAGGGTGGCAGCGCGCGATGTCTGGTCCGGGCTCCTGCTCCGCGCTCATCGTGCCACTGATGCGGTGGACAGAGTTCATGTTCTGCTCAAAAACCGCGTACTGGCGTACAAGCCAGATGAGGTTGGTGGAGAAGCTCATAGCATACGTCAGTGAGACGGCCGCCAAGCCGGGGTTTATATCGTCGCTCAGCAGGACGAAGACACTGGTCAGGACAAACAAGAGATTTCCGAGAAACTCGGTGCGGAGAGCTAGCCATCGATTGGCGGCCCAGAGGTGTAAGAAGGGCCGTGACTGCATGTCTATGCGTTCTGCGTTACTCTCGATGAATAACCTCTCGTTATTGTAGGCGCGAATCGTGACGACTCCGGTGAGCACCTCACCAAATTGCTGGAACAGTGGACTCCGACCCCTGGCCTCGTGCTCCTTGAGCTCTCGTGAAGAGCGTAGGTAGAATGTCGCTACGCCCAAATAAATAGAAACGATCAAGCAGCCCGCGATCAGGAGTTGCGGCGTCGTCCACGCAATGACAACAATCGAAACAATCGTATCGAGGACAAGGCTGACAATGAAGACAATACCAGGCGTCATTTGTTGATCAATGATCTCCATATCCTTACTGAAACGATTCATGATCTGCCCAAGGGGATTTGTATCAAAGAAGTGGAATGTTGTCTTCGTGACGACCTCGAGCAATCTGGTGTGCAGTTCTCGCGACGCCGTCAGTGAACCAAAGGCAGCCCAAGCTTCTCGCATTATAACGAAGAGGACACTCGAGAGACTGATTATGGCGAGGACCAAGATGTGGGGTAAATGATTGGTCGTCGAACTGGAGGGATCTGTTGGTAGCATTTGGCTCGCTACCATCAGGTTGTGATAAGTGTTCGGCGAAGAGTGGCCAAGGTGACTCTGGGAAGAGAGATGTAGCATGGCATTTGCGCGAAGTGTCGGCCGTATACCCGCATCACTTATGTTGCCGCTCAACATAGACGCATTGGACCATCTCCCGATCCAAAGGGTGGACGTCACACCAGCCATATGCTCTGCTGCGAACAAGAGGAGTAAAATTATCCAGAATGGCCAAGCTCCCATTGCAAACAAGTAGAGCTTACTCGCGGACCACCCCACGACGCCTGCACCGTTGGCATTTGCACTGTCTTGGGATGTAAGCATCTGGTTGACAGGCTGTACGGCGATTTCGTAAATCTGATTTGGAGAGGTTGGTCGGAACTGCCAGACCTCCGGCGCCGTCTTGGGTGAATTGAGCGCCTGCTCCATCTTCACCATCTGAGACTCCAACGCTCCATGGTCAGCCACAGGGAACAAACCCGCAGCAAAGATTTGACGGGGAGGCCCATGAGCAACAACCCGACCTTTGTCCAGAACAACCACGAAGTCAGCTACCGGCACGCACAGTGCCGTGTTATGTGTGACGAGGACGCATGTACGACCTTGACCGGGGAGCTCTCTGACGCAGTTTTCGAAAATGAACTGAGCGGTGGGTGGGTCCAGCGCGCTAAGGCAATCGTCTAGGAGCACAGTGCGCGAGTGCGAATAAATTGCCCGAGCAAGGGAAATGCGCTGTTTCTGTCCGCCGGAAAGTGTGACACCGTTTTCGCCTGTGATCGTGGCATCACCGGCGCTCATGCCGTGAAAGTCACTCTCGAGGGCGCAGATCTCGATGACGTGGTGGTATCGTTTTGCATCGTAAGGAGTGGAGAACAAAATATTTTCACGTATGGTTCCATGGAATATCCAGGGTGTCTGTGCAACGTAGGCGCGGGTTCGGGTATCAGAGAATGATAGGTCGCCCTCCACTAACCGCATTTCTCCCAGCAAAGCGAGTAGTAGGGAGCTTTTCCCTGCACCTGTCTGGCCCACGACCACATTAAGCTTACCTGTGTGGAAACAAAAGTCCATGTTGTGCAGTTGGAAAGTTGTGGATGCAGCTGATGCAGTTTCACCAAGCTTACCCCAGCTGAAGTGAGCCTCATGAAAGCCCAGCATAGGATCATCCGTGTTTCCTTCCGCGGTAGAGTTAACAGGCGGCAGCATATCCTCCCCATTGCCTAAAAACTCCTCGATACGTCTCAGAGACACAACCGCCTCAGTAACTTGGGCCAACACGTGTCCCACGTTGCCCAAAGGTACAGAAAGTAGTGTGAATAAGGATACGGAAGCAAAAGCTAGGGAAGGTCGTAAGGGTTTCCCTTCCAAAGTCGTAAAGCAGAAGAAGGATATCAGTGTCGTTAGGGCAGGAACAGCGTACCAGGCGGTGTTAAACGCGGCCCACAAGATGAAGCGTTTCCGCAAACCCTTCAGCTCCATATTTCGTGCGTCATTTACTAGTGCGCTGAAATGACGTTCCCAGACGAAAAATTTAACAGTGCGGATATTTCGGAAAAGATCATTGGACGTATGGATCCGTCGATCCGTCGAGGCCATCATGTTCTCTTGATTGCGTACCAGGCCTTTACCAAGCGTAATATTGAGTGGAATCGTGAGAAACATCATGGAAAGTCCTGAAAAGGCACTCCAACCCAGAATACGATATAGCATGGCAATGGTGATCAGTATTTGCACAGGCGCTTGGATAGTAAGGAGGTGCAAATTAGATATGGCATCGCCGATTTTGTAGCTGTCGATGGACATCAAGTTTATGATGTTTCCGGTACCTTTTTCACCAGTCTCCGAGTGGGTCGTCTGGTCTTCTGAGTCAGGTAGGCCGGCGATAGATGCATTGATGGGCAAGGTAATGGCGCCTTCTTCCGCTGGTAGCATCTGCTGAAACCATCTTTTCAACCTTCCTAGCATGGTATAGGTAGTTTTTGTGGCCAAAATCGAATACGCTTTTTCTTGGCTTGGCTTCCGGTCTACGGTCAGACGAAATACCTCGCCAATCAGCAAAGCGCGCGTACGGAGGCATAATTTGTGACCCTGCCAAAGAGCCTGTCCTTCTGCAACCGATTTGACGAGATCGATCCATGGGAATAGTATGACAAGAAGCCATATTAGGTGTTGTGGGTAGCGTCCAGGCTGTTCGATGGAGGTTAAGATTAGGTTAAGAAGTAGAGCGGGGGCGACGGTGAGGATACCCGCGACGAATGCCCATGTGCCCTGTAAGATTAGCAAGCCCTTAAAAAGAGACGCCAGTTTCCAGGATAACGCAGCGTCCTTCCTGACTTGTCGATAGGAGGCTAGAATAGTTTGGGCCATGTCTGCTCGGTCGAAGTGCCGCATCATGTCGATGCTAATTCCCTTAGTGTACCCCTTTAGCAACATCGCATCCATCCAGAAGAAGGTGAGGCGCGAAAAGGTTGAAGCTCGTTGTTCTAGGGATGTCGGTTCTGCTCCGTCTTGACCTCTTCGGAAGAGTATGATGCCAACTAGTATTGTCTGGAGACCAATTTCAAGAGAAAGTGTATATGTAGTGAGGCTTGGCCCGCGGTCTAGCAGTGCAGAGCGAAGATTCACCGCTGTTAAGAGCCATTGGGTGAGATATATGATGCCAGAATGCACCCAAGGTCTGTGTTGCTGCGACCTTGCCTTCTGTACAAGCAGAGGTAGGATAAGGATCAGAGCAGCGTAAAGCCAAGATGAAGCCGCTGCTGCTGGTTGTAAGAGGCTGTATCCGCCAGAGAATGCGCGTAGGAACGAGCTGATATTGACGCTAAGCAGTCCACCAAGCACAAGCAGCTCGCCCAAGGTAGCGCCATCCAAGACGACTGCGGGATTTCGGACTGAACTCGGTGGCAATTCCAGGCATCTACAGCACGTGCTTCTCTCGAACACTGCGCCAGCTTCATCCGGTGAAATGCTGGCGATCCCAAGCTGTTGTTGAGGCGGAGCCTTATCGCAACTAGCCCGACGTGCAATCACACGAATGCTGATCAGCAGAGAAGAAGCGGAGGCCAAAGTGACAAAAGTCGGAAAGAATAAGTTGATGTATCTGGATACGTCAGCCTGAGCACGACTATAATCGAAGCAAGACCAAGCTTCGCAGAACCTACTTCTCTCGAAAGCATGCAGTAAAGTCGGCATCCTGCCAAATCGGCGATACACAGAACGTAGCGCCCACCATCGCGTCAAAAGGTGTTAATGGGCGGATTGTGTACAAAGTGAGTTCTTAAGGTTGCTCAATGTCATCGGAATGCGCATTGCTGGCCGCCTGAGGGCGAAAAAAAGTACATGGAAGAAGGCAAAGTGTAACACCAAAGGAAAAGGAAAGGAGCGGTCAAGCGCCAGATTTTGTGTCAAAAGTAACGACACAGTCGATGAGATGAACCAATAAGAATATTCTCCATGGAAGGAGCATGCTTTAGAGGTGCACTTAGAACGGCGATCGATGCCTTGGCAGTCGATTAGCTTCTGCTACAACCGCGCGCCAGCGGTTCTGTTTCTTTTCCAGAACCAATGATCTCCGTCCTTTGCACGACTTAGAACGAACACAAAGAAAAAACTAGTGCTGCCGACAAGAAAGGCAAGAGTGATCCGTACATGCAAACAGGTGGCGTTCAACAATCACGAAGCACAATCCCTCAAAGCTAGATGTGGCTGCATCAACTAAATGGGACAGACAGTCCAACAAGCATACAATTATTTAAGGTGCGTATTTTGTGACCTTTTTGTTTTCAACGGGGTCTGTAAAGACTGCCGTGAATTCAGCGCTTTAATAGTTGGGAAAGGCAGGAAGAGAAATAGTCAAAAGATCGGAGGAAAAAAGAAGGCAAAAGAAGTGAGAAAAAAAGTAAAGAAAAGGAATATCTAGCGCAACGTAAGGGGCACGAAACTACAAAGAAGTCTTTTGACAGCAACGAGAATAAGTCGCATAGCAAAGAAATTGCGTAACGGTTTAATTGTGTGAATACTGATCATGCTAGCCGGAACCATGCAGAGACTTCTTAGTGCAGATAAGATGTGTAAACACGGCGTTGATTCACGTAGCCATAGAAGACCTTACAGAAGGCTTGGACTACTAACGACCTATCCTTGAAGCCCGGTTCGTAGTAGTCTACTAGTGGTAGTAGCTATTATATAGACCGTGCGGATGCTTATCTAGAGCCTCTGGACTACTTCCTAGCTTGAAAGGCTACTAGTAGTGAAGGCAGATGAGGCATCAAAAATACCTATACCCGAAGCAGCGATAGCCTACAATTACAGGATAGATAGCAATAACTAAGGCACTCAAAAAGTTGCCTATAGTAAGCAGCAAACAAAAATGCCTCAATCAAGAACCTTTTTCGTCCACAGCCGCTGATAGAGCGTAACCGGAGAGTAAGTATAATAAAGAAGGGTAACAGTTTGCAGTTTCTGCTTCATAGCTGTAATCTGTTCAAAGTGGGAGAGGCTGACATGGAGGATGCCCAGTACTCACTACAGCGTTGTCATTGAGATGACGGCTGAAAGCGTGGTCCAAGGAATGAATACAAAGCTAACATCACCACGACGCTTTGGACACGTGACAGTGGGGTACCCAGGGTAGCCAGTAGTAATGTGGGGGGAAATGTAACCACTCACTTGCTTTCTTCAGGCACGCTCCGGGAAACCTAGAGTTGGAGGAGAATCTCTCGCACAATAATTTTGCGTCTAAGCAGGTCGAAGAAAGCAGGGTGAAGCACCCGGTAGGCATCCTTGATGGTGTTGAAGAAGCAGACTGCAAGGCAGTGCAACGCCCATGTTCCCATCTTGCCTTGGGGATGTTGCCGTCGGGGGTTACAAAGGTGCCCAGGGTGGTGCTCAATGTAGAAAGCGGGATAAAGGGCGTGTTCAACAAGGAAGGTCTGCGGGAGCGAGCCCACTATAGAGCGCCTGCAGCATGCGCAAAGAGGTCGGGACTGCACCGGAGGAGAACGATAGCCAACATGGATCGCACCTAAAGAATAGATCGAATGATTTGCATGCTGGCAGATCGAGCAGATGCACATCATGTGCCTGTGACGGCTGCGGGGCGGGAACAGTCGATGCTTGATCGGTGCAGTGGAGACCTTTGTTCGTGTATTCGGCCATGTGGACAAAGACTAGGCGAAACACTTCGGACGACCAGGTATCTTGAGAGCATCCTTCTTTCTGTTCGCGCTCGTTTCGTGATGATCCGATTGCAGTTACATTGAGTTGGGCTTTGGGTGTGTGTGAGGGTGCGGCGTGGGGACCCACACCATCACCACATTTGCAGAAGAAAGTCAACACGTCAGGCCGTCGCAACGCAGCGACAAGACCGGCGTAAGGCCGAGCCCGCGCCATGCAGACGACTCGTGGCTCAACAAATGCATCTGGTACCCCCCGCAGAGCGCCACAAGCAGGCCGAGGACACTGCTTGCGTCGCAGCACCTCAACAAGTGGTACAGCGAGCATAAAACTAGTTCACGACCGTGATGACTTGGACTTGTGCGCCTGGAAGCGCCTCATCGTATCAGTCAACGGCCGCTAATTCAAGCGCATTCGCCTCACCAACGGAGTCAGGCACTGTACGCATTTCTCACTCCGGGGCTGAAGGCGGAGCGTCCCGAGGTGACCTGCAGCTGCCGCCCTAGAAGCTTGGTTAATGCCTGTCGCAGCCGTTGTTTATCCGGTGGGCCGTCCTGGCAGGTTGGTAAGGTGCCGTGCGCCGACAAGTGCGTCATCCCTGCGTCGATTGGTAGTCTGCCAGGCGGAGTTTCACAAAGTCCTGGTCATGTCATTGAAGGAGCTGGTGGAAGATCGCTTGTTAGTCCGTGGCGAGAGTATGGTGGATACTTGAAACCGAGGGCTTGGTGGGCTCGTGTAAACATACCCAAACTCCTCTTACGGGGTACCGTCCGCGGGCGAGGGATCCGGTACATGTCGAGTCGCATCCTCTTAGACCTTTCAAAGAATCCCTTTGTAGGTCTCGCATGCAGCAAATGTCCATCGAATGTGGGCCAGAAAGTCCACCCACGTGTCAACATGGCTTTCACCACTTCCCGATGAAATGCCTAACAATATATGATACCAAGACAGCGCCTGCCAGATGACTAGAGCTTATGTCCCCGCCACACCCATCCTAAGCTCAAAAGCAAAATGTTAGGCGGCCTGTCTTTTGCTGTAACCCTATGACGCGAGTACAATCAAAAGTATCACATGAGTCGCGCACCTTGCACTAGCGCTAACATCATGCGAGCCCATATTCCCTATTAAGAAATGTTTTGTCCGTCCGTTGACTCCCGTCACTGCATATCGATCACATGGGCTTTGCGCCTACTAATCTGCATATGTAAGTAGTTTGGGAGGGGGCTTTTCGTCCCAAACATTAAGTGCACCGATGATTCAAGGCTAGGCGGCGGACCCTCCCATCGTACCGATGATCATCTAACAGCAGGCGCATGCACGACATTGCGTAGCGCGCTAATCTTTCTGCATAGCTACCCACTTTTTTGTCAATTCGCACCATGCAGTATGCGCAACATTGTACGACGGGCGCTAAATTTCGGTCTTCGTTCAGAGGCGGTTCTCCGTACGCCAGTTAAGTTACAATTGAGGTGAACGACATTCACTCGAAAGAGATAGTTATATCAAACCTCTGCCTAACATGTACCTCAAAATACCAACACAGCCGTAAAACTTATTTCTAGAACAAACACTTCTACTCATGGCGGATGCGCACGGTATCGAGTTCCTTGTCTTTGCGAAATTCTTAAATCAAGTGTAACGTTTTGTATGAGCACTAACAGCCAACCAACTAATCCATCTAATCTTATATAAAAAGTTCAAATATCCCAATGTCTTGTAACGTATCTCAGCACATAACCAGATGGCCAAGAGACACCCCACTCAGACTTCACTACCGCCGATACTTCTTCGTGACTTTTCCGAAGTAATTGTGTTTAGTGTAGTAGTCATGAGCAGCGAAAGTACAAAAAGACTCGCTGCAGCGAAGAGGCACGCTCTGGCTAGTGGAATCCCTCCATATTGCATGCCTGCAGCAAATGTTGTGCTCCAGAGAGTGGTTCCGGCAAGACCGGCCATGGCTTCCACCATGCTGATGGCCGTATACATCTTTTTGACCTGTTTCTCGTCTCTCAGAGAAGCAGTCACGAAAGATCGCAGTGAGTCAGACAACGCTGCCCCAAGGTTGTAGACCCCCAAAGCTACAATATATAACCGTCGAGTTGGAGCGATGCTGACCATAATGAGACCAATGATATTGCATATCAGACTCGTCTGTATCGTCCAGTGATCTACCATTCGCTGCGATGACAAGCGTGGCAGCAGAAACAGCTTACTCAGGTATGGCAGTGAGAGTAACACGCCGCCATTGATCAAGATCTGGAGCGCAGTGACGGCATTCACCTCGGCAAGCGTCCATGCGAAGCTTTTGGAAGCCCATTGCGGGAGTACGGCTCTGATGTAGATTGCTGTTTCGTAACAAAAGTAGATGAGTAAGCTCAATAATGTTACTCGGTCTTGAAGCAGGTCCACCAATATCTGTGATGATTGATACCCCTCAGCTCTGGTCGTCCTCAGTACCATCTTTAGGGACCGCATCCAGGTCCGAGGTGGTTCACTTTTCACAGTGTCGGATGCGGTCGATCCTGCGCCTGCACATTGCATAAGAGGCATATAGGGAGATGCAACAAGAGTCGAAGGCGGTAGAGCGGCCTTCCAAGAGCGTTCCTGTAGCAACGGGACGAACAGGAAGCCGAGGACGCAAAAGCTCACGCCAAGGAAGCAAAGTAGCCACTGATCCGTTGCGAGTAGGATTGCTCCGAGGGAAGTGCCGATGAAGCTCATGACCATGAGAAGTGTGCTCAGTCGATAGAGATTCCCGCTACTGGATGGACATCAGTAGATGCATGAGAAACAGATGTAGTGAGTATACTCACAGAGCGTCAGGCGACACTCTCTCGGCCAGATGTATGTACATCAAAGCATTGCGAGCGGGTGCACCTCCGCTGACTAGCTCAAAGAAGCCGGTCAGCCAGATCATGCGAACATTGAAGACCTCAGGTAGTAAGGCTTTATCGAAATGTCAGCGATTCAGTTCAATGTATTGAGGTGCACATGAGGCCCAGCAACTTACTAACGATAGTAGAGTAGAACGCAGTACAACACATCATGAACACGTTGATGGCAATGGTCTTGCGTAGACCTATAGATGGGGCCAGACGCATTGTCAATGGCGTGCCAAGAATGCCTATCACAGATGTGAAGTCAATCTCAAGGTTTCCAGCTTACAGGCTCATACACAGAATCTTACCACCAAGTAGCGTAAGAGCTTCAAACACGCCGATGACCATTGATAGTTCAGCCTGAATGACGTTGAGCTTGCATTGCTGCTCGTCGACTCGTCCATCGGGAGCGACGATTGCAGGATTGTGGATGGCGTAGTATCTGCGGCATAGCGCTTGTTCGGCCAAGAATAACCTGGCACTTCGTAACATTGCGTTGCTCACCGCAGTTGCAGCGAGCAAAGCAACAGCTGGCCAGATGCGAGGCATAGTTTGGGTTATGGGCAAAGCTGCAATGAGGCTCTTTCGCGATAGGTTGCACAGAGCAGTTCTTCGATATCGTTGCGGGACTCGATGTACGTATAGTAGCAAAGGGGTCTCGTGGAACGCTCTGCCGTTGATCCGTTCCGCTTTGCGCGGGTTGCGGGTTGCGGGTGGACGCGGAACATAAGTTTCTCAGTCTTTCACCGATGTCCGACTTATGCATAGGGACTTGTATATGAGCTAAAGCCCGTGCAGACACAAGGACGGCATGAGAGTAGTACCAAATTCTTGCAACCACTCTTAGAGACTTCTCCACTCACACGCGTGTTGCGCTCCCTAGCACTCCTGGGGCGTCCACAGCGCCCTAGACGACTAGTCATTGGCAACACCGTGTACCGTTAGGACGCTTGGTATTTTCGTTTTGGCCGGTGCCGGCTACCTTAGACCCTGTACTAGCAAAGGCTGCCCATCTACCGTTATCAGGCCCTGTAGAGGAACCAAGCTTCGCCAAACACCTTCGCAGAATGTGACGCTAATAAGCGATTATACTGGTACTTCCCTGTGGTGTCTATATCTCTTAGTCGTCTCTTATACAGGTACCATGGTCTGGAAGACATGTCTTGCCGGTCGACATGTGCAACATAGATTAGTTGCATCCACTATTGTAAATATTACATGTATCACATGAGTATTACGGAATACTGATGCGGAATTTGTTGACAAGTTTGCTGTCGCAACGATCCACCTAGGTACGATCTCAAACAAGCACGTTCCTACTGTGGCAGCTGACGTGGGTCAGCGGGTCATTGCCCTCTGCAGCTGACGCGGGAGAGACAACGTTGATTGCAATATGGAATTTTGCGCTAATGATCCCATGACCGAGGCTATGTTCGAGCAAGGATGGCATAGAGGACCTCGGGGGGCGTCGCTGTGCTGCTTGCATGTGATGAGGCATGTCGCTTCGCCAGCTTTACAGGAGCCTGCACACTACCGTCTTGGCGGGCGCAATGCCCGGATCGCGTAATGCCCGGGCAACAACCATCAGTATACCAAAAAGATGAGGCTGTAGAACCACCACAAATCGTGATAGTATTGCGATATTTTGTTGTAGTAGTAATCACTATACTGCGAAGAGTTTCTGCTATTCAGAGTATTTTTTAGGCTTCTGGATTGTACGCGTTTTGGTCTTTTGTGGTAGGGCAGCCATGGCAGCACTAGGAGCTTCTACACGGGCTGCACCAGCACCACTACCTTTTTGACGCTTTTTGGGAGGCTTGTGGGCTTGTGAGGCCTTGCGCTTACCGTTTTGGAAAAGTTGCATAGCTTTTTGAGCGTCGCGAAGGGCTTTCTGGGAGCGCTATCGGCTACGAAGAACATTTCCCGCATACTATGGACTACGTGGGTGGACTGGAGGACCCCTACTGCGGAACGGGTTCGTCCGGCTCCTCTTGACATGCAGAAGTGGAGTTTGATTTTCTCATGTCGGGAAGAGCCGCCGGCTTTCCCGTTCCGCTCCGCTCCTTGCTCAGAATGGAAATGTCAAAATGGATCCCTAACTCTTTGGAGTTCCACTGCCAGCCCTTCTCAACAGTCGAAATATTGTCTAAGATATTGGGTTCCATGCATTCAGAAGAGAGTGCAACATTCACACAGTAAGCCACGTGGCTTCAGTATCCGTTGGCAACATGATGCTTCCAAGGTTACCACCGTGGTAGCTTGCCCAACCGAGTGCGGACCCATTTGCCGCTCCAAGCTGGACGAATGATCTTCTGGATATGTAATGTCAAAGCAGAGGCGCAGAACTAATGTCATGCGTACGCTTACAGGGTCAGAGAGGCTACTCAAGCAGCTAATGGAATCGATGTCCAGCTACTAGAGCTGGCACTCTGTGGATGCACCACAAGTAGCATCCTCGTTGTCATCACACACCGCCTAACCGAAACAACATTCATGTTGATGATGCTATAAGCACTTTTGCTGCAAGATGCCGCGCATCGACTTGTAGATGGGTCTAGGTGGGCCGTATGCGCGAGCCTAGCGTCATTAATTCAACTACTGTGGCAAATGGACGGTTGCCTGCGGGCCCAGAGTCATAACCATAATGGAGTATACGATGCGCAGAGAGCTTGGCAATGCGCATCTGTCCCCATCGCTAAGTCTGACCGCTTGCTTGCTTGCAGCTCTGCGACGACTAAATGACTGCCGACGTGTGAGGGGCGGAGCTTGCGATTTGTCGTTTACGAGGTCGAGGACAATGCAACGACTGCCTTTGTGAGTACAGATTCATTGAACGAGAACCTTTTCACGGCCGATCAATTTTAATGCACCTGCTTTCGATGCCCCTTCAATAATTACCACGTCCATTGTTCCCCAGCGTTTATCAGTCTATGATGGCCGGCCAAACAAGCCTCGAGCTATCCTTGACCATCTTGGTGGTAGTACTCATTGGAGTTGCTGTCCGAAGGAGATATTTCCATCCCCTCTCAAAGGTTCCTGGCCCATTCTGGGGCTCGGTGACGTCCTTCTACCACGCGTATCACTATATAGCCGGCGACCACCACGAACTCCACCGCCGTCTCCATGAAAAGTATGGTACGTGTTCACATATTATTCAGAGTTCGCACTCAACTCGTCTCGCTCGCAAAATGAAGCATACTGAATCACAACCAAGGCCCCGTAGTGCGCTACGGACCTACCCGAATCATCTTCTCCGATCCTACCATGCTTCCCGAAGTCTACCATATGAAGTCCAACAAATCCAACTTCTACGACTCCACTCTGAACGAGGCCTCGGACAGCTGTTTTTCCGAAAAGCATCACATTGCTCATGTTGCAGCGCGGCGATCTTTGGCTCACGCGTACAGTATGATTAACGTGAAAGCTCTTGAGCCCCAGATCCAACGAGTCATCGATGTATGGGTGACTCGACTTCTTACCCACGAGGACAAACCGTTTGTACTATCTGACCGTGTACTATGGCTGGCATTCGACGTCCTCGGAGTCATGGTATTTGGGGAGCCTTTTGGATTTGTTGAGGAATGGACTGACATCCGAGCAATGCTGGAGCGGTCGAGCAAATCCACTACTTCCGGCAGATATCTGGAGTACTACAACCTCATGCCAACGCTGAGTTTCCTAGTGAGGAAGACACGCATAGGGAAATCGCTATTTCTTCCTTGGCCAACTGATCAGGTTGGGCTTGGGGTAATAAAAGCAGAGCGCGATGCGGGCTGGGTCAGGTATTTCGAGCAGAAACCTGTAGCGTCACCGCACTGCCTTCTGAGTCAGATACTGGACAAGAGAACGAACACCAAACAAGACCCTTTTATGAGCGATGATCGAATCAAGAACGAGCTTCTCATCGCCATCCTGGCCGGAACAACTACCACCACTAGAGTCCTTAACGCAGCCTTGCTGAATATAGCAGCGCGGGAGGAATGCAGCATGAGACTTCGAGAGGAAATCTCTGCCCAACCCCAAGTTGGTCGTGAGGTCAACTATGAATACAGCGGTAGCCTCAACTACCTCGGAGCATGTATCAAGGAAGCCTTCCGCCTCTCCGCTTCCCCTACCCAGTTCCCGCGTGTAATCGATCACTCGCGGAACGTGGAACTGAACGGTGTTCGATTATCCCCAGGTACTGTAGTGTCCAGCTCAAGCTACATTATCTCGAGAAACGAAGAACTGTACGGAGGCCAGCTGGAGGAGTTCTCGCCCGAAAGGTGGGTCGAGGCAACTGAAGAGACAACGAAGGCAAGGAGGAGGTACGACTTCCGTTTTGGATACGGAGCGCGAACATGCTTGGGCAAGAACCTGGTAGAAGTGGAGATCCACAACGCAGTCCTTGAAGTATTTCGTCGATCAAACGTCAGGGTGCACGATCTAAAAAAGGCTATCGTCTCGGTGGAGCTCCGCGAAGTCAGTTGTACTTAGGGGAGAGAAGATGAAAGCGTCATGTCCAACGGCGACTAGGAAACTAGAAGCGGCCAGGATCTTCCAGCGACCCACTCATTTACCTCACTTATCCGCCCCAACTTCGGGACTTCGTCTGCATCAACGGCTAGTCACTTATCTGCACTCTCAAGTCCCTTGAAGTGATATGTTTGCTTGCTTTTGCGTTACATTGCACTACCAGATAGCGAACACAAAGCTGTGTTCAAGCAACCCACGGAGTCTCACTCAATACTGGCGTGAGATACGTCGTAACTTCCAGTTGGTCATCAGGCGTGAACATGACGCTCAAGTACGACTGCAAACCCCGCGGCAATCCCGCATGCGTCCCATGCGTCCCATTCTCATGCATGCCATTCGCATGTACACCATTCACAACTTGTCCCTTCACTCTGTCCGGGCCATGAGCAGTACCTCTATCCCCTAGGCGCGGCAAAGCTTTCAGGAATTGGTCAGCAAACTTGCCTCTTTCGTTGTCTTTCATCCACTGAGAGACGCCCTCCGCTAGCTGCTGCTCCTCCTGCCCGTACACATAAAGCGGCACTTGAACCTTGACGTTGGGAATCTCCCTCCCTGGCGCAATGTCGAAGTAGAAACCACACGCAGGATAAACCAGCGGTACTTTGGCTGACCGCTTGTGCACGAGATCTCCAAAGCGGGAATTGATGGGCCAGTCCGCTTCATCTGGAAAATCCAGGGGGAGACCAGTGACAGCGGCTAGAAGCTTGCGTAGAGATTCGGTTTGCGACGCAGAGACAGCCTTGCGGTTGTTGAGCGTCATGATGGTGTGAATCGTAGAGAAACGTACGTGCGGAGTGCGGAAGTATAGCTTAATGCGAGAGTTTGGCGCGGCGACGCAGTCGAGGCCGAGGATTCTGAGAGAAGAACGTCAGATGATGAGGAAAGAGGCAGCGAAGGGGTGGAATCGCACGTACGCAGGCTTGAGGAGTTGGCCTTCGGGGTCATCTTCAAGGAAATCATACAGCGCAGTGGCGGCTGCACTTGTAGGACTGGCTTGGAAGATGGCTTCTTTATACACCTCGAGAGGGATATCCCGCATGCCGAGACGGCGAGACTTGAGGTACAATTTGATGTTCGGGCCCGGCTCGACGAACTCGGCAGCAATCATGACGGTCGTAGTGATCTGATCGTCGTCTTGTTCCTGCGCATAGCGGTGTTGATCGTGGTCGAAGAGTGTCGCAAGGAAGTGGTTCGTCCACGCCAGGTCGACGCTGGGGTACGCGCTTGCGATGTGATACAGCATGTCCCGCGACGGACCCTGATTTAGAGGATCCTTCGGTGAGCCGCTCAACTTGTCCACAGCCTCGAAGGTGTAGCGCAATTCCGGAGCCCCCGTACCTGTGTTCCATTTCCACGAGTATTCGACCGGAGGGCCCTGAATCGTATTCACCGTCGGCCAATGGAACGTGCCGTCGCTGGCAGGTGCTGGTCCCAGGTACGGGACCTTGACCATATTTAGCAAAACATGATTACCATTCAGACAAGGTTTTGACCTACAACTAGGTGGTAGTGAAAAAGGAGAGCCTCATACTGCCTCTCCGTGGAGTATCCAGCTGCCTCTAGGAGATAGGCAAGGTGTAAGCCGGTGTAATTCCACCAATAATCACAGTCAGATCCGCGAGACGGCAGCAACGGCCGCAAAGACTCCCAGATTTTCGTGGTTGGCGATATGGTACTAGACTTCATATTGGTAGAAAGAACGATGAGGGAAGGCTAAGGTCGGTGTGTTGTGTCTGATGCTAGAAGAACGGAAATCGCTTCTTGCACCCTTTAATGATCTCATGTAGCACGATCACGCGCTTCAATGATCTTGCCTCAAAGCCCATTTTCCTACTCTAGGCATGATCGTACCTCCTGTTGGTGGGTGGTGGGCTAGTGGGTGTCCCGCAGAATGCCGGCTTGAAGTGAGTTCCCTCCATCCCAACGCATATGCAGTGCTTCTGCAATGCACGTAGTCTGCGTAACATCCACATTTCACTACAATGTGTATCAGCTATTGAATGCATGCAGTGGTGGCTGTTGATTGCATGCAGTAGTGCCTATTAGCATTATGCAGTATAGCCTGATGACATATCGAAATGCCTTCTAGCTGAATGCGGCGATGCTCGATCATAATTTGCAGTAGCGCCTGCATTGCCAAGATGACTGGGTATCTGCAGTATTGTAACTAAGCTATGTGTAGTGGTGTGATAATTTAACCAACCATGCAGGCACTAGCTATAAGAGATTTCTTTGGCTCTCCAAGCAAGAGACTTTCACAACTTGAAAAACTTCAACCTTTACGCCTTCTACTGCCATCAAACCAATGGTACGATGCAATACGACGAACATAGTAGAAGCCGGAGGCTCCTACATACCATCTTCGAGAGTCAAGTTTCTTCGTCACCGGATAGGAATGCCATCCAAATATACACTCTTGGATCATGCCGGTCCATCACATACGATGAACTCAACTCGGAAGCAAACAGAATAGCGAGGTTGATTGGATCCATCAAGCTACCGCAAGCAAACACGTTTGCCATCTGTATGGATAAAGGGCCGACTCTTATCGCGGTCATTCTGGCCGTTCTGAAGTTAGGGTGTGCTTGGTCACCAGTTGATCCAAAAGCTCCGGTCAAGCGGAAAAACGCAATATTGCAATCGCTTGGTGACTGCCACCTCTTGATAGCACCGGAATATGCAGCTGAGTTTCAGCAATTTCCGCTGTCCACGAGTGTCTTTGTCTGGGACGAATCGATCTGCTCCGCTGTGTGTGTTCAACGCAGTGAAAACTTGCAGAAAGTTAGTTGTAGCCCAGAGAGTCCATGTCACATTCTATGGACCAGCGGGTCGACAGGAATTCCCAAGGGTTAGTCTGAACCTTCCCTTCCCTTATCTGCATCAAGTGGCTGACACATAACACCTATCAGGGGTAGTGATTCCCCACCAATCCGTCGCAAATAATGCTTCTACCTTGGTACAGCTTTTCCATCTAAGACCGGAAACTCGGATACTTCAGTTTGCACATATCACCTTTGATATATTTGCCCTGGATTTGTTCATGTCACTCAGCATTGGTGCTTGTCTAATCCTTGGGGATACCGCCGAGATTCTTACTGACATATCGTCCTTCATGATCTCTACGCAAACGAACTACACGCAATTGACTCCATCTGTCATTCAGTTGCTTGATCCAGAACGGATCAATGCGAATGGCAGACTTCAAATCTTGGCTAGCTCTGGCGAACCTATAACGGAGGGCATCGTTCGCGCGTGGGCGGGTAGACTACAGCTGTTCAACTGTTATGGCCCGACTGAGACTGACGTTGTTACTGCTCATCGAATAACGGCGAATTCATCGCCGCATTGTATTGGAAAGGAGCTAGCTGGATGCAAGGTGTCCATCAGAGATGATCACGGAATCGAGCTGCCTAGAGATACCATTGGGGAAATCTGCGTGTCGGGAATCCAAGTCATGAACCAATACCTCAATGCGCTCAACGAGACGCACTGGCACTTGGGGAGACCAGAGGGCCGGATATATCGCACCGGCGACTTGGGAAAGACCGTATCTAGCGGAGACATCTTCTGTTTCGGCCGCAAAGACCACCAAGTGAAGGTACGAGGCAACAGAGTCAATCTCGTCGATATCGAAGATACCATTCGGTGTATGTCGGACATAGAATCCACTACCGTGCTTCTACCGAGCGCCGGTCCTCTTCAAGGCGAACTTTGTTGTTTCCTACAAGTCGATCTGGACGGGTGCAGTTCGCACCGCGGAGCAGTGCCCACGCTGGAGCCGAACACTTCTGCAGAAGCTATGCATGTGACCAAGACGGTACTAGAGGAATTGGAAAAGTCATTGCCGACTGCAGCAGTCCCAACAAGTTGGTGGCTCCTCCAAAATACGCCGCTGACCACAAGTGGGAAGGTCGATCGCCAGGCCTTGTCGCAATGGCTCGAGTCGTGCACCCAACCCGAACTTCAGCTTCGAACATATCCTGCAGCATCTAGCATAGGCGAATCTCCATCTTCATCCGACACCTACGTGGACACAAGTATATTGGACTCGGCCGGACCCGAGCAAGTGATCAGATCAATTTGGGCCAAGTTACTCAACATGGATACTATGAACATCCCCACAGATCGATCATTCTACGCCATGGGCGCTCATTCTCTCGTGGCTGTCAGGCTGGTCGCGGCAATACGGGCTCACGGGATCAACTTCACCATGCGGACGCTTGGCGATGCTGATACGATTAGGAAGCAAGCCATTTTGCTCACCTATCCGGGAAGTCGGCTCAACACAGCTTCGAAATATGAAGCAGAGGTTCCTTATGCCCTGATAAACGCTGAGATCGATCGGTGCCGGCTAATGGAAGCGGCTTCCACGGTGTGCTCCGTCCCCCAAGAATGTATTGACAACATCTATCCATGCACACCGATGCAAAGCGGAATCATGGCCGCCTCACTACAGCATCCTGGAACATACATCTGCGACATGACCCTGGGTACAAGGGATGAATTAGACCAACCTGCTTTCGATGTCGCCTGGTCGCAGCTTGTTGCTTTGGAACCCATCTTTCGGACCAGGATTGCGATGATTCCCGATCTTGGTATGTTTCAGGTAGTCCTGGCTCCCGCCCAATGTTTGAATCCAATGGATGCTCGCCTGTTCGATATGGGACTCGGCTCTCCATTATGGACTTACCTATATGAAGACTCCACTGTCCATTTTCGTATCCATCACTCGATCCTGGACGGTGCACAGGTATCCCTCATGCTTCAAAAGCTTAGTAATCTCTACGACAAGCGCATGAAAAGTAAGGAGATGTCACCGTCTCAAACAGAGCTCGATGCTATGAGGGGGACTCCTTACACCCAATTCGTGCACTCAATCATTCGAAATGCTGCGTCGAGTGGTTCCCGGACTTTCTGGCTGGACATGATGAAGGACCAATCTCCCACAGATTACCCGACCGTCACATCCACTGTTCCAAGGCACAGTAAGAGTCGTGCGCTCAATTTGACGATTCAAAGTGATTACCGGAAATTGGCCGCCGAAAGTGATGTACCTCCAGGAGCACTTCTAGGAGCCATATGGTCCATAGTGTACAGTGGTTTTGCTGATACACCAACTGTAGTTTACGGAATGGTTCACTCGGGTAGAGATGCTGCTGTTGACGGAATAGAAGGCATTGTCGCTCCGACAATAGCGATTACACCAATCGTAGCCGGGATCGACCCCAGAATGGCATTCGTCAACCTCGCGGCATCTTACCATAAAGCCTTGTCCGATATGATACCCCATCGCCATTTTGGGCTCCAACATATACAAGCACTAGGACCCAACTACAGAACGGCTTGCGAATTTCGAGCACTCCTAGTCATTCAATCGGAACTTGATCTACCGATACATGAAGGACCCTTGGTATTGGAGAGTGTCTCTGAGGCTCGCTACGATTATCCTCTTGTTCTTTGCTTGACCATGAAATCGAATCAAACCCTGGTAATCGACACTAGGTACGAAGAGACTTTCATCTCCGAAGAAGCAGTGCGCTGTATCCTCAACCGCGTTGAGGACGTTATCAGGCAACTCGAGTACTTCGGCATCCAACGCACTGTAAAATCTCTCCAAACACCATCGCAAACCCATCTCGAGCACATAATTACGTCGACTATTGCACCTGCCGCTGTAGAGATGCGCGTTGAGGGCATTTTCGACGCATCTGCCCTTATAGCTCCCCAAGAACCCGCAATATTCGACCAGGAGCTGGGTATCTCATTGACATACTCTGATGTTAAGCGGCTTTCGATGATACTTGCACGTACCGTTCTCCATCGTGGCGCCGAACCCGGCTCCATGATTCCACTTTGCATTGGCAACAGTGCTTACGCAGTACTTGCTATTCTGGCAATTCATCAAGCTGGGTGTGCATATGTCCCCATCAACCCCGAACACCCGATGAAACGGCAAGACGTTGTCATGGAACGGGTCAAAGCGGACATCTTGCTCTGCACATCAAATGCGTGTGCGAATTATTCCCATTTTGCAGGCCAGATCATCAATGTAGACAAAATAGTTCCATTATCCCCCAGACAGACTTCAGCATCGGTAGATCGAGGAGTTAGTGAATGGGAAATGGCTGAACCAGAAACATACGAAAGCTCGAATCCAGAAGAAGACGGGGTTCAAGTCAGGCCTCCGGGCAGTCACGTGGGGCAATCAGCAGACACAGCGTCTGTCCTTTTCACATCTGGTAAGATAGTCGAGTGAAGCAGACCTACGTGGTAGCCTGAACATTCAGGCTATGCCGGGTCATCTTCAATTTCTGTAGTTTTATGAGACATCGCTGACATTTACATGTACAGGTTCGACTGGTGTGCCGAAAGGCGTAGAGCTCACCCATCAAAATATCGCGACCGCTGTCCACAGTCTCATTGATTCATTCCAGCTGAAGCAGGGCACCCGAATGTTTCAAATTGCGAGTCTTGCTTTTGATCTGAGTCTGCTAGAGATATACGGTTCATGGGCACGGTGTGGGTGCGTATGCATTCCTTCCAAGTATTCGCGTATGAACCGAACTTCGGAATCTCTGAGAGAGATGCAAGTGGACACTGTTATTGCCACTACAACAGTTGCAAGTTTGATTCGGGTAGAGGATGCATCGCAGCTTCGGACAATGGTGCTCGCGGGTGAGAGACTTAGCAGGGAAATCGCGGACCGCTGGGCCGCCAGAATATGCCTGTACAACCTCTACGGCCCTACTGAAGGTTGTATCGGGGTAACTTCGACACGAATACTCCCGGACTACCTTGAGCTTCAAAACCTTGGAGCTTCCATGAACGCGAGGATCTGGATCCTGGACGGAGATCGCAAACCCGTTCCTTCCGGCTATCTGGGTGAGATTGCAATTTCAGGACCAACCGTAGCCCGAGGATATCTGAAAGATCCTGCCAGGACAAGGAACTCATTCATCACCATAATGCCATCCGGAAGTAGAGAATCCGAGCAGACGGCGTACCTGACGGGTGACTTTGGGCGTCGAACAGGAAATGGGGACATTTTGTTCCAGGGGAGGAAAGACTACCAAGTGAAAATCAATGGTATCAGGATTGAACTCGGTGAAATCGATGACAGCATTGTCAGTGCATCACCGGATATTCGCAGCGTGGCCGTCATTCATATCTCGAACAGGCTTGTGGCTTTCATCGACGACGGTATGGGTGCATCTGTGAACGGGGAAACCACCTTCCACACGATAACTCCTGGTCGAAACGCCACAATTTCACTTATTCGGACCCATCTCAAAGCACGGTTACCGACGTACATGCTTCCCTCGCAGTTTCTCTTCGTTACGCAATGGCCGAAGACATCGAATGGGAAGACCGACCGCAACGCGCTCATCGCAGCCTATCGAAATGAGCACTCCATGATCACTTCGCATTCACAGAGTGGTAATAAATGCCAGGAAATTGCATATGAAGACTTATCAGGCCGCAAAGAGTCAAAGAATTCATCTTGGTTTAGGAACACGCTCCACCGCGTCCTTGGTCTATCCCATGGTGTCCGCATCGATCCATTCGCCTCTTTTTTCGACATCGGGGGGGATTCATTTGCTGCGATGAAATTCGTTGCCGCAGCTCGCACAGACAACATTGGAATATCAGTCCATGATATCTTCCGTAATCCTACTCTAAGTGCTATGTACGACCATATGTTTGGCAAGAAACCCGAGGCCAGAGAGCACATTGCGCAAATCAGTACCGATGTTCAAAAGTTCTCACTGAAAAGTTTCGTCGACCCGCAAGAGGTTGAGAGCCTCACGGGGCTCGCTCTGAGTCTTGTGGACGACATTTATCCGTGTACCCCCTTCCAGGAAGGTGTGGCTGCCCTCGCGTCGCTATCTAAAGGCCTCTACGTGACTCGTCACGTATTTGCAATTACTCCTTGTGATGAAGCCCGTTTCAAAGCGGCTTTAGCACTTGTCATTGAGCGTAGCGCTATCCTCAGGACTACCATCGTGGCACTCAAGACTCTAGGAGCCCTACAGTTAGTAATTTGCCCAGAGGCCCCGTCATCACCCCGGATCAAACTCCACGCCGCCATCGCCGATCTGAAATCTCAACCGGTACAATTGGAGGACCAGTATCTATTCAACTTCGATCTTGTCGTGAAAGATGGATCGATCAACACATTTGCCGTGACCATGTCACACGCCGCCTATGACGGATGGAGTCAAGAGCTTTTGTTGCAAGACATTTCCACAGCCTACTGCGAAGGAAGTTTGCTGCCTCCATCAGCCACTTTCGCTTCGTTCATCTCCTATCAGCATCAGACCTTGCACCATCCGCGCACAAGGCAGTTCTGGTCGGCTTATCTTTCGAATGCGCAGAGTTCGTCTTGGCCATACGAGCCGCGCCACAGTCACGAGTCTATACGTGCAGATCAGCGCTATTCATCTGCAGCAAAAGTCTCATGGCCTAGCCAAGGAAGACTGAAGTCAGCCATACTTCGCGGTGCCTGGGCTCTTCTTCTCGCGAAGTATGAGAACACGAGAGATCCATGCTTCGGCACAATTTTCTCTGGAAGAGCCAGTGACTTCCCACATATTGAGTCCGTTCGCGGCCCTACCATGTCTGCTGTTGTTGCACATGTGATCCTGGACCCAGAAGAATCCGTCGCAGGCTTTTTGAAACGGCAGCAGGACGATTTTACGGCAATGTCACCTCACAGTGCCTATGGCCTACAGAACATTAGGAAGATCTCTGAGGACGCTGCCAATGCTTGCGAGTTCCGTACGATGTTGGTGATACAGCCCATGGAGATCTCAGAGCCAAAGTCTACACGGAAGATTGCATTCGAATTGATCGAAGAAACCATGCCCGGGGGCTACGCGGTCACCCTGGATTGTGTCCCAACGCAAGAAGGAATCAAGCTCTCTGTCTCGTACGATACTGTATGGATTTGTTTCGGGGAAGTGCAACGGCTCGCTGAGCAGTATCTTCACGTGGTAAAGCAAATGTCAATCCGCGTGTATGATGAATCAACTTTGAACGATATCGACATGGTCCCTATACAGGACTTGGAGCAAATCCAGCGATGGAACTCTACCCAATTGAAGCCTCAGAAGAAGAATCTCTATGAGCTTTTTCAGGCTGCAGCACGGAAATACCCTTACTCGCCAGCCATTGAAGGACCCGGTGGACAGGTCATCTCTTATTGGGATCTTGAGCTACATGTCTGCGCTGTGGCCGATATCTTGAAGAGTAATGGAGTGAAAGCACACCATAAGATCCTCATCCGGATGGACAAATCACCGCACCAGATTTCGGCCGTCCTCGCTATCCTTCGAGTTGGCGCGACATTCGTGCCCATCGATATCGAGTGGCCCCAGAGAAGGGTTAAGAGGATTGCTGAATATACAGCTGCAGCATTCGCTCTAGTCGACCTTGGTAAATCTCTCTTCGAAACACCACCGAGCCTACTACAGATTGCTGTTCATGCACTTCCAAGCAAAACTCCTGACCCAGCCGGCTGCCATGATCCACCTGACCTAGTAGAGCCAGAAGACCTAGCGTACATAGTCTATACATCAGGATCTACTGGAGAGCCGAAAGGGATTCTCATACCTCACATAGCTGCGTGCACGGCAATTGTGGCCCACCAGCACCATCTAGATCTCAACTTCAACTCTCGAGTTTTCCAGTTCGCATCTCTCACATTCGACATGAGCATCACAGACATATTCGGTACTCTATCAGTCGGTGGCTGCATTTGCCTTCCAACCGAACACGAAAGACTTTTCGAGCTTGAGAAGACAATTCAAGAGAGGCAAGCAAACTGGATCTCTCTCACACCTAGTGTCGCTAGTTTGTTGAACCCCGAAAATGTTCCAACAGTGAAGACGCTGGCTCTAGGCGGAGAACTCGTTTCCCAAAGTCTCCTGGATACATGGGTGGATAAGGTTCATCTCATCAATAAGTATGGGCCGACCGAGACCACTATAACCACTACAGTTTGTCATCTGTCGGGAGATCCTTATTGTATTGGCAACGGAATTGGAACAACGTCCACCTGGATTGTCGATCCGCACAACCATACTCGCCTCGCTCCAATAGGAGCAGTGGGCGAACTTCTATGTGTCGGTCCAGCGGTGGCTTATGGATACCTGAACAACCCTGAAGGCTCCTCTAAGGCGTTTGTCACGCCACCACCCTGGGTTGACCAACAAAGCAAGGCATGGAAAGCATATCGAACGGGTGACTTGGTGCGATACAATGCGGATTCTTCTATCCGTATTCTAGGTCGCGCTGATAGACAGTTAAAGCTTCGTGGAAAGCGTGTTGAGCTTGCAGAAATTGACACTGCGATCATACGCACGGGAGTCGTCGATCAAGTCGTAACGGATGTTATTCGACGGAACGAAACCCCTCTTCTGGTCTCGTTCATCACAGTCGTTGCTTCTGATATGCCAGAGACATCTACGACGACTACTACTGTATTGAGGAACTCTCACAGTCAAACTCAGACCGTCCAACATATCAGAAGCTCCATTCAACAGGATCTGCCGGTATACATGCAGCCATGGGCCATCATCGTAGTCAACGCCATTCCTCGTTCCAGTTCAGGGAAGGTCGATCGTCATGTGCTGCAAAGTATTGCGAAGACATGGTCACCTGAAGATCAAGAAGCAACTCATGCAGCACTCAAGTCGCCTAGTTCCGGAACAATGTCTCGACTCGAGCTCACCGTACAGGAGTTGTGGTCAGAAGTACTGGGTATCGAGAAACAGGGAGTAGGATCAAATGGTAAGTGGATTTCATTTATGTTATTATTATTCCACTGTACGTGTAGTTGACCATAGTAGATACATTCGCCAGACTAGGGGGCGACTCTCTTAGCCTCATGCGCCTCGCGTTCTCATTGAGAGCAAAAGGCCACTTCGCAGATGTCAGCAAGGTTCATCTGGGACTGACACTGAAGCAAATGGTCCAGCTGTTCACAGGAATTGATCAAGCGCGTGAGACACGGAAACCGCCAGATGTTGAGCCCTTCTCACTGTTGGCGAACGTGTCGATTGCATCACTTCGCGAAACCATCAGACGGTATCTCCATACCCCCCTGGACGATATAGTCGATGCCTACCCTATGTCACCTATGCAGATAGCGCTTATTGCTTCGTCCGCAAAGAGCCCGGGATCCTACACCAACAAGATAACTTTCACGCTTCCAAAATCTGTTGATCTCGACCGACTGGACACAACCGTACGGCAGACTGTTGAGCACCAAGAGATTCTCCGAACTGTGTTTCTTGCGGAATTTGAAGGTGCTTCAGTCCAAGCTGTGCTGCGCAACGGGTCTGTAGTTCAACGAGGTCCTCCGAGTACTGAAGAGTCCCTTCAAAATGAACAAGTTCCTCGGGTTTATCTTCCGGCTGTATTCTACCTTGAGAGGACGAACGCATGTGTCTATTTGCATGTCATCATCCATCACGCAGCAATGGACGCGTTTTCGATACAAATGCTTGCACATGACTTGCATTGTACGTGGTCAGCCCAGCCACTACTGGAGCGGCCGGCATACCGTACGTTCATCAGGCACATAGAGATGGTCCATTCGAAAGACGATACTAGAGAAGCATGGGAAGCTTTCTCGGATCGCACGCTTCCAACGCAAACTCCTATCCCAGAGGGTCTCGAGACTCCTGGGCAGCCTGGGCAATGCATAGTCCAAGTGCAAATGCCGCCTTCGACAGAAAGCGAGTGGTCTCCATCTGAGTTACTCACTGCTGCGCTGGCCATTCTACTGCGTCATAAAAGTGGCGCTTCCTCGATTTGCTTTGGCTTAGTACTGTCAGGCCGCTTAGACAATCTCGATGGACTTGAGAAAGTCGCTGGGCCGACATTTACCACCATTCCTATGATGTGTGATGTCGAGCCAATGGCGTCGAAGCAGGCTCTCCTTCAAGCAATGCGAGATGATCTTCAGAGAATCAGGACTCACCAGCAATTCGGGCTCAGTAACATAGCCAAATTGAATGACTGCGCTCGGAAGGCAACCTCGTTCACGACTCTTATGGTTATTCAACCTGAGAGTGAGGCGAATAACCAAGGAATTTTCGATCAACACACTTGCGAAGCGTTACGTCCCACAGCCCAATACCCACTGGAGATAGAATGCAAGCTTTCTAGGGGCGCTGCAGAAATAAAAATGGCATACGACGGAAAAGTTATTGGCGCAAAGGAAGCAGACTGGCTCAGCAATCACCTAAAGCAAATCGTCGAGAGAGATTTAATTGGAAACGAACAGCTGATGCAGCCTTTACAAGACTCTATGATGATTACCAATGAAGATGAGATGCAGATCGATGCTTGGAACTCGACAGTTATCGTTCCGGAAACACGATCATTGCATACACGCTTCTCAGAGACCGCTACTAGGTATCCCGAAGCAGAAGCAATCGTATTCGACGACACGAGATACACGTATAATGAGTTGGATCATCTATCATCCGTCCTAGCACACCACCTGGTCAGTCACGGTGTAGAGCGTCGGGACCGGGTTCCACTCATGTTCGAGAAATCTGCAACCGTGGTCGTAGCTATGTTAGCTGTGCTGAAGACTGGCGCTGCGTATGTGCCTTTGGACCCACTGCAACCAAAAGCCCGGCTTCAATCTATGAAGGACGCCATCGGGAGCGATATCATTCTTTGTGATCCTTCAATGCAAGACAGATGCCAATTGTGGAATCGCCAGATCCTGACTGATCATTCATTGTTGCTATTGCTCCAGGCTCAAGGAGAAAAGCACCAGCTGACGGGTACTGTGAGCTTTGAAGACCCGGCATACATCATGTTCACAAGCGGCTCATCTGGAACGCCAAAGGGCGTCGTGATCTCTCATGGAGCAGCTTCTACGAGTATTCGCGATCAAATCTCTTCGTTCAATTTCGGATCTGGTTCCAGGATCATGCACTTCTGCTCATACACATTTGATGTGAGCGTTATGGAGATTTTTGCCACACTTACGTCAGGCGCAACTCTCTTCATACCGTCGGAGCAAGATCGAATGTCGAGTCTGGTGCAGTATATGCAGAAGAATGAGATTCAGACTGCGATTCTCACGCCAACCGTGGTTCGAAGTTTTCTCAAGCCGGAGAGAGTTCCTAGCTTGTGTCAATTGATCTTAGTCGGGGAGCCCTGCAATCAGAATCTGATATCGGAATGGTGTAGCTGTGTGCAGCTCATCAATGACTACGGGCCGACCGAGACTACGATCGATTCCGCCACGAACACAAACATCACCAAGAAAACGAAAGCTACTAATGTTGGGCGGTCAATATCTGGGCACTTGTGGATTGCACGACAAACCGATCCCAGACAGCTTTGTCCACTAGGCGTTGCCGGTGAACTATTGATATCGGGACCGACGCTCGCCAATGGCTATTTAAACGATCCCGAGAGAACTTCACAGGCGTTTATTGATGGCACCGAGTTACCCTGGGCTCAGAAGATGACCGCTAACCCAAGTCGACTTTACAAAACTGGAGATCTGGCAAGATATTCCCAGGATGGTGAAATTAACATCTTGGGTCGGATCGACAGTCAAATCAAATTGAAAGGACTCCGAATCGAGGTTCAAGAGATAGAGTACGCCCTTGAGGGCTTTGAGCCATCTTTGAGGGCAGGGGTGTTGTTGACAAGATCAGCCAGTGGTGAAGATTCGCTCTTCGCCGTAGTGAGCAAAGATGTTTGGCGAAGAAATTCGGAGTCCAGTGCGCTGCAGCTCACGGAAGAGTTAAGCTCTTGGATTGATTTGCTGTCAAAGCATGTTGCGAAGGTTCTACCGGGACATATGCGGCCATCTAGCATTGTTCCTTTAACACACCTTCCGACTATGACATCTGGCAAGCTTGATCGACGAAAGCTTGGAGAGATTGCAGGGAAGCTTGTTGAAAAAGGGCCTTTGATGCGCCAGTGTCAATCTTCTTCGAACACTAGCAAAATCGTAGTGTTTGCGCAATCAGAGTATGACCTGCGGGATCAGTGGGCTCGAACTTTGGGCGTAGACGTCAATGAGATCTACCCTGACTCGGATTTCTTCTCTATGGGCGGCGACTCTCTTTCCGCCATGAAGCTCTCTTCGGCGTTCAACACCAATCGGAGACTTTCCGTAAAGTCAATTTTCCAGTATCCTGCTCTTGGCGACATGGCAAAAGCAGTCGAGACTGTGAGTTTGGCTGGAGCAACGGGGTCTAATGCCACTCTCGGACTACACTACCAATCACGATTGAGATTAACAACGGATCTCTTCGCGAGTGTCGCCGAAATTTGTGGCGTCCGTATGCAGGAAATTGAGAATGTTTTCCCATGTTCCCCACTGCAAGAGGGACTCTTCACAGCCTCTTTGCTTTCAAGCGGATCTTACTGCGCTTGCTTGGCGTATAGATTGGCTCCAGAGGTGGATTTAGGCAAATTCTGTGCCTCGTGGGAAACTGTGTATCAGTCAAACCCAATTCTTCGTACACGCATCGTTCGCGATTATCAAGAGACTACCCATTTCCTCCAAGCTGCAATACGTCAGCAACTGCGGTGGAGGATAGTCGATACCGAGGGGGCAGCCACTGAGCAGTTCGATGTGGCTTTAGGCGGAGAGCTTACTCGGTGGATCATACTCAACGGTAAGGGCGGCGCTAGACGATTCATGCTCTTCATACATCACGCCCTCTACGACGATATCACGCTAAAGAACATATTTTCCGATTTTGCGCAACTGTATACGAAAGGATTTCTGGACGTGGCGCCAAGGCTGTTCGGCATGCAACATTACATAGGGTTCTTGGAGAGTCTAGACGAAAGCGGCATGATCGAAGAGTGGAAGACGTTGCTAGAGGGAGCGATCGCCCTCCCCTTTCCGCCGAGAAAGTCGCCTAGCTACAAGCCGCTGACAAATCGAACTACGGAGATTCTCACTGCAAATGCTCGTAGCGGTGACCCCTGGCGATCGAATCAAACATCAATCCTTCGAGCCGCTTGGTTGCTCACTATCGCACGCCACCAACACGCGGTTTGTGACGGCGTGAATGTTTGCTTCGGTACGGTTCTTTCCAGTCGCACGTCGGCTGTACCTGGGCTCGAACAGGTTATAGGACCCATGATCCAGTCTGTACCGGTGGTCGAATTCGTCAACAGAACGGAAACCCTTTCCGACTTTCTCCAGCGCATACGTGCAAAGTATGTGCGAGCGATGGACTCAGGTCATCTTGGGCTCAAGAAGATCAGATCAATCGGGCCCGCGCATGCCTCTGCATGTGATTTCAACAACTTGTTCGTCATTGCAAACGGGGAACCTGAAGAGGATTATCTCCAAAACGACCGAATCGAAGGCTTTACTCGCCTCAAGCAAGAGCTACAGCACCCTTACGGGTTAGTCTTCGAGTGTACCCCCACACCAACGGGCGTGACATTTTCAGCTTCGTACGACTCTACTGAACTGGAGGAACTCGCAGTGTCCAGGCTGCTTGACCATTTTGGAACCGCATTTGGGCGACTCATAGAGTTGCGCGACAGCAGTACCGCCAAGGTGTCCGAAGTCCTCTCTTACTTAAGCAATGATGCTGAGTCGAGCTTAGTATGCTCTTGGAATGAAATACCCGCTATACCCGATGATTTCCTCCACGAACGATTTCTAGCCGCCGCAAAGAGGTGGCCAGGCAGAGAAGCTGTGTTCGCACATGATCGTTCGATGACTTATAAGCGACTTGACCAGGAGTCTTCAAGTTTGGCCGACGAACTTGCCAATGCTGGAGTACGAGCTGGATCTACGATACCGATCTGCTTCGAAAAGAGTAGCTACATGCTCGTTACGATACTTGCTGTGCTCAGAGCAGGTGGGGCGTACGTTCCAATATCACCAGATCATCCACCGAAGCGACAGGCATACATCATAGGACAATGCAACACAGAGCTTCTTTTGGCATCAAGTGAGCAAGCCAAGGTGCTTCGTGAGGCACTGCATACTACCAAGACATTCATCTGCGTTGATCAGCTGTTTTTCAACCGTCAACCGGTCAACAAAATGTCCCCACCTTCAACAGAATACCCTGCTACTACTAGCAAGTCTTTGGCGTACATTCTATACACCTCGGGCTCCACCGGTACTCCCAAGGGAGTTGCTGTGAGTCACGGTGCAGTTGCTCGTAGCATGGTCAGACACGCAGACTGCTTCGGGCACGCGTTAGGAGATGGATTACGCAGCTTACAGTTTTGCAACTACACGTTTGATGTGTCTATAATGGATATTTTCCCAACGCTGAGCTTTGGCGGCTGCGTCTGCATTCCTTCTGAAGCCGACAGATTCGACAATATTTCTTCCTTCATTCGAAGATCCAGGGCGGACTTGGCCATGCTCACTCCAACCGTTGCGGACATGTTAGACCCAGCAGAAGTATCCAACCTCCGCACTCTTGTTGTGGGTGGTGAACCGATGACAGAGGCAGTCAGAAACAAGTGGACGGATCCTACCAATGTACCAGAGCGGACGCTGTACAATGTTTATGGCCCAACAGAAGCGAGTGTAAACGTCACCACTTTCCGAATGACTTCGAAGACCCGTCCCTCAACTATTGGCTCAGCAGTTCTGGGTAGCCAACTGTGGATCGCAGAGGTTGATGACTGCGACAGACTAGCGCCTTTGGGCTGTGATGGGGAATTGATTATCACCGGTCCGTGCCTGGCAGATGGATACTTGCATGCTCCTGATCAGACTGCCAAAGCCTTTATCAAGGCTCCTTCGTGGCTTCCTACCCGCTTTGCGTCGACAGCGTACCGGACAGGTGACCTTGCTCGTTTCGCCGCGAATGGTGTTATCGAAATTATTGGCCGGATCGATGCACAAGTTAAGCTCCATGGTATTCGAATCGAGCTGGGAGAAATCGAAGAGGTTGCTTGTCGAGTTGAACATGTCAACAGCGCAGTCGCAGTTGTCTCGAACAAGCGCGGCCGTGACGAGATATCACTATTCTATGATTCTCTCCACGGTCAAGATGTCATGATTCAGAGAGCGATTTATGAACAACTGAAATGCTCGCTTCCCCCAGCGTTCATTCCGTCTCTGTATATCTGTAGTACGATACCCATGACTGGGACCGGTAAGATTGACCGAAAGGCAATCGCGCAACAAATGGAGGGTTATGATGCGGAAGAGCTGAGCAGATTCACTATCGACGCTCCAAACTCCTCGAAACGGACCCCCGAAACGATGAAGCAAAGAGAACTGCGAGCACTCTGGATGCGTGCATTGCGTGTGAAAGAAGAAGATGTCTGGCTGGATACCAACTTCTTCTCCATTGGAGGAGACTCAGTCGGAGTCATTGTACTGGTCTCGATGATGCAGCGGGCTGGGTACCCGGTCACATACAAGGACGTCTTCGCCCAACCAATTTTGGAGCACATGGCTTTGCTGATGCACAAAGTCGGTAAAGAATGCAACGCTCTCGAAGACCCCAAACCCTTCGAGATGCTGGTAGCTGGACCCAGTAATCGCCACAGTCTCCAGACCCGTCTCGCGGATGTGCTGAACATACCGGCGGGTCATATCTGCGATGCCTATCCGTGCTCTGATATGCAGACTTCACTTATTGCAGCATCATTGCGAACCCCGAAGGCATATTGGTGCACCATCGATTTAGAACTGGCACCTGATATAGATGCAGAGCGTTTGCTTTCGTCTTGGGAAGCAGTGGTCATGCAGAATTCCATTATGCGTACGGTGATCATTCACACGGAAGAATATGGCAACATTCAAGTTGTCGTTGATTCAGATCCTCGGATAGTCCTTGGCGCCTGGGACAAAGAACGGGTACTGCTCAACAAACCGTTGTCCAGTTACAGCCTCGATTCCTCTCGTACGGGACGAAAGGTTTTCCGACTAACGATGCACCATGTCATCTATGACCTGTGGGTACAGGAAGCACTTCTCGGTCAACTCAGTCAAATATACAACGGGAAACAATTGGAAGGCAACCCTTCTTTCAGTCGCTTTATCCGCTTCGAACAACAGCAAGATGACTCTGCAGCATTCTGGAAGAAATCAGTGCAGGGCGCGTCTGTTGTAAAGTTCCCAAATTATCGGACCGTGCAGAACCCGGGCGAGACTTTGATGACCATGACTGCAGAGCGTATGGTGAAGATACCGCACACAAGAACATCCGCCCATTCAATCGCGACGATCATACATTGCGCATATGCACTGGTACTCTCTCGATACGGTTATGCGAGCGACGTTTGTTATCCTTCCGTTCAATCAGGGCGCAACATTCCGCTTCAGGCCGCTTCAGATATAGTTGGACCGCTCATGACAACGTCGTTCTTCCGCGCCGACTGCTCGCATGATCGTACAGTAGACGAAATGTTTGAAGACGCCAGTCAGTTCCTTTTGGACGCGGCCAGTCACCAACACGCTGCACATACGGTCGTTCCTCGAATATTTGGCCAGTCAATAGCAGAGATGGGCAGCATGTTGGTGGTCCAACCTCGTACCCGGCTTTCTGAATCGAAGTTTGACTTGTTCAGTCGTACAGGTACCGAGATGGCACAGCCTGGACTACTTCTAGTAGCTGTTACGATCGAAGACGAAAGTAGTGTAAGTTTGAAGATACAATATGCACCCGAGGCAATGGAAAAGGCTCATGTTCAGCTGTTCATGAGCCATCTACAACGGGCGATTGAACAGTTGACGGAGCCGCAGATGGGCACCAAGCGGAGTCTCGGGAGCATTTCTTTGATCACTGAGCACGACGAAAATATTGCAATGCGAGGCAGTGGTACGCCAATGCCCCCCACAGGCACTGTTGTGGATGCTATGCGCCATGTCGCAGCAAAATACCCCAACGCTATTGCGATCAATGCTCACGATGGGACTCTGACATACAGCGAGCTACTGGATCAAGCAACTAAACTGGCTGCGATGCTGCGACTCCGCCTCAGGAGACGAGCAGGATCGGAGGTTCGTATTGCTGTGTGTTCCGAAAGAAATGCCATGGCGGTTGTAATCCAAGCTGCAATCTTCAGCATCAGAGACGCTGCATTCATTGCTCTGGATCCCACAAGTCCCGTGGAGAGAAATTCGCAGATCGTGGAAGATTCAGATGCCGATATCGTACTGTTTTCACCATGCGCGATCAATTCGGCAGAGCACATTGCCTCAGGCAGAGATATCCTGCAGATAAGCAGGCAGATATTGGATGACTTGCCTGTAGATATTGATCGTGACTCGAAAGATGCAAAGCCTCACGCGAACAGCGTTGCGTACATCACTTACACGAGTGGAAGTACTGGTCGCCCCAAAGGCTGTGTTATGGAGCATGGACCCCTGGCAATCACGATACTCAAGCTTACTGAGTGGAAGGAGATCGACCCTACGTTCAACACACTCTGGGGATCCACGTGGAGCTTTGATGTCCACCTGTCACAAATATGGGAGCCATTGACCACTGGCGGTGCTATTTGTGTGCCATCCGAAGATGAAATGCACAAGAGTGCCGAGGCTACGCTCACGAGATACAACGTGCACCACGCTTTCTTCACTCCAACTCAGGCGCACATGATTGAGTTCAGCAGGACTCCCTCCCTTCGATCTCTTGCTATGGGTGGGGAATCCATCAATTTCAATCTGTTGCCGCTCTTCGAGGCGGGTTTGCGCGTCTTCAACGAATATGGACCATCAGAAGCAGCCGGCTGCGTTACAGGTCATGAGCTCACTCTCGGTGATCAGGAAAAGAACAAGATCGGTCGAGCGCTGTTCGGCAATTGCTGGGCCGTCGAGCCTGGCAGTCTCTCTCGTCTGGCCCCGATTGGAACAATCGGAGAACTTGTGGCTGGGGGAACCTTAGCTCGAGGTTATCTAAATCGACCAGAGATGACGCGTGAGGCCTTCTTCGATAGCCCAGTGTGGGTGCGCGGACTGTGTCCACGGCTGTACCGCACGGGCGATTTAGTGTGCCAGGATCTCGACGGCTCATTCCGGTATCTTGGTCGCGCAGATACGCAAGTCAAGATCAACGGGGTACGAATCGAGGTTGCAGAGATTGAGAGTGCCATTACCGAAGTAGACCCGAGCGTCAATGCAATCGTTGCAGCCCTTGATTCTGGTAATGAAGAAAGAACCAAAATCCTGGTGGCATTTATTAGCGAGGATTGCTACAAGGGGCCGTCATCTTCCATCAGAAAAACCATATTTGAAGATGATTGTGCGAACATCCGTGGCAAATTGGCGCGAATCCTCCCCAGGACAATGATTCCACGTGTTTGGATCCCGCTGTCCAACGCCCAAAGGACATCGACAGGAAAGGTAAATCGCAAGGCTGTCCAGGAAGTTTTCCAAACACACATGCAGACGTTGTCAACGGAGAAACGCCCAAAGAGCAATGAGGTATTCACGGACGCCGAGAATATCGTACGGAATCTCTGGGCTTCTGTGTTGAAATGCGACCAGTCTGAACTCAACAAGTCCACCAGTTTCTTTGATCTCGGCGACTCCATTACGGCGATTGGACTGGTCGCTGCTGCGGCTAGACTCGGACATCATGTGTCTGTGGCGTCTATATACAAGAATTCAGGGTTATCGGAGATGGCTCTCTTGATGCAAGACAACAAGTCCCCTGATTCCTTATTGATACGACAGGACCCGCCAGCGTTTTCCCTACTCTGTCATGATGCACTCAGCTTAGCCAAGGAAGATCTGGAAGAGAACATGCCAGATCACACAACAATAGAGGACATTTTCCCTGTCACTCCACTCCAGGAAGTGGCCCTTGTATCGAATCACAGATGGCATCGTGCCTACTACGCATGGTTTGTCATCGAGGTGACTGGTGGTCACGACCTATCCAAGCTTCGAGCTGCGTGCAATCAAGTTGTGGAAATACACCCTGTGCTTCGGACTCTTTTCTTCCAGAGTGGGGCCACCTTGTACCAAGCGCAAGTTCAGAATATGGCGGTTGACTACCAAGAAATTCTTTGGAATAGTGACATGTCACATGTACCTCATCTCATCGAAGAGAGCTGCCCAGGTGAACCGTCAGCTTGCTACAACCCGACTCGATTTCGCTTGCTACAGCATACAACGACCCATGGTCTATTGGCTATTGGATTGAGCCACGCTCAGTACGATGGGATATGTCTATCAAGTGTCTTGGACAACCTGATCGCCATCTACAATGGAAGTACGATAGCACCACAGCCAAGCTTCTCGCGTCTCGTCCAGCTTTTGAATCTACAAACCCAGGTCGCCGAAGCGCAGGCCTTCTGGAGCACAAGACTTCATGGCAGCACCATGACAAATCTTGTCAGATGCCCGAACACCAGCCGTCCGCTACTAGACCGCAAAGTCACCGCGTATATAAGCCTGCCCAATCCGTCAACAACAGAGCGGAGAGTTCACGCTTCGCTTTGCCTTGCCTGGGCCATTACCTTGGAAGCCGCAACTGGTGTCTCTGACGTAGTCTTCGGGACCCTCACTTCCGGGCGCAGTGCTCCAATCCAGGATGTATATTCCATGACTGGACCATGTATTACCACGATCCCGGTACGTGTCAACTTGGGCGCGCAACAATCTATCAATTCCAGCAAAGATACCATGACGATCGGCGAGGCTCTTGATCAGGTACATGGAGAACATATCGAGACCCAATCGTTTGAGCATCTAGGGCTCCGGAGGATAGTCAAAAGCTGCACGGATTGGCCATCTACAACGCGCTTCTCTAGTATGGTCCAATATCAGAATATCGACCCTTGGGATCCATCTTCAGATTCATCCTTCCCCTCAAAGCCCGGATCAGACGGCGTTCTGCAATGGAAAAACCGGGGCTCGATAGCGTACAAGGGCCTATGTGATGAGGTGGACGTATGGGTAACGGGCGTGTCGAGGGGGGAGAATAGGACAGACTTGACCATGCTCTTCAGTGAGGAGACGTTGCCCAAAGAAGCCGCAGAGAACTTGCTTTGTGTCCTGACTGTCAACTTCGAATCCATACTGAAGGGCGCTCAAGAAAGTGTCACAGAGCTCTCCGAAAAGTCAATAAAGCGTCTGGGTGGCGTTCGACTCCCGATCGAGGCTCGCCGGGAACTGCGAAGGATTACTCAAGCTGAGGCCGCCACTATCATCCAGGAAGCTCTACCGAGAACATCCCGCTCGCTTCAGGCAATATGGTGCCGGGTGCTAGGTCTTGCACCGGAAAAACAGTTTGCACCTTCGGATTCGTTCTACATGCAAGGTGGTGATTCAATTGGGGCAGCCATGGTCGCCGGACTTGCGCAAGCACAAGGTTTCTCATTGAGTCCTCAAGACGCAGTTGAATGTGAGACTTTTGGTGAACAAGTCCGGAGGATCGAGCAGGGCTCTCACAGCATGGCAAAGACGAACGCATTGGAGTGGGATGTCACTGATATGACGGCAGAATCTTAGCCAAGATAATTTGATTTATTATTTCCTTCTTACGGTGTAGCTCTCTTGCAGGTCTATAGAGATGAGTACAATGTATAATATAACGAGAGGAGATTGTAGTGCTTTACTAGGTAGAAGCTTCTTTTTAGTTGAGTCTTCGATGCGGCCGGACGCGATACCAAGGATTACCGTGCCGGACGGCGAAACGCCCGCTCCGCCCCACCAAATCTACTACAAAGATGAGGCTGTTAAGTCGCACTAAATAGCTATTATTGCAAGGTCTTTTGGTGTTGCGATTAAGAGATAGTATTGCAGAATTCTGTCTACTTAAATCTAGCTGGCAACTTAATATCGCGCCTACGTCGCGATTGAATTGGTGGTGGGCTTGTTGGGCGAGTAGATAGCTGCGCACCACCACTACAATTATAAATAATGGATTTTCTTAGTTTTGGTCTTGTACAAGCTTAAAGGCTCTTCTTCTGTCACGAGATGCTACGAGCACGTGTTTATAAGCTTGCTAGAAGCGTTAATTGTAACTACGTACAATATCTAGTGTAATACTATGTGCCGAAACGGTAGTGATAGGGTAGGGTTAGGTTGCCCCTAGGGGCGAAAAACGTGGCTGCCCCTAGGGGCAAGAGACGACGAAGGCTGCCTCTAGGGGCAAGAGACTACAAAGGCTACCTCTGGGGGCAAGAGACAAAGACTGCCCCTAGGGGTAAGAGACTATAAAGGCTGCCTCTAGGGGCAAGAGATAAAGACTACCTCTAGGGGCAAAGGACAGAAGCTACCTCTAGCAGAATAAGCTAACAAGAGCTAACAAGGCTAGGCAGTGCTTGCCTCTAGAGGCAAAGAGGTCTGTGCTAGAAGTTATATACGTTAACTCTACCTATAACTACGTTAGCACTCTATAGCTTCTCTTTACCTAATCTTTATCTTTACAGACACTACTTTATGTGTACTCTCTACTTCTAGTAGAAGAGATAAAGCGGAAAGGCGTAAACGTTCTACTAGAAGTAGGCAAGAGGCAACATACAGCTATAAAGAAGATAAAAGAGGTAGACTACGTCTTGTAAGAGGCTACGCTATATTAAGTAGACTACTCTAGTTATATAACGTATAACTTAGCGCTAACTAAAGTAGTAAAGCACAAGGCCTATAAGAGGTAAGTTATACGCGTAAGAAGAATCTTTCTTCTCTTATCTTTCTTCTTCTGTATATAGAACAAATGTATACTTATTAGTAGGCCTCTTTCTACCTATAATATAAGAAGAAAGATTATATATTTCTTACTCTTTCTTCTTGTACGTAATAAAGTTAGAATTAAGAATAACACTTTTGTGTATAACTATAATATAGCTAGACAATAGCTATAAAGTAATAGACTTAGCTAAGACCTATAAAGTAAACAAAGTAAGAGAAGTAGAGACTTTCTCTTAACTATAGAGTAACTTATACAGATATTTATAATAAGAGCTTATTAACATAATTAGTCTTCTTAGAGAAAATCTTAACTAAATAGTAGTAGAATAATAATTATATAAAGCGCTATAATAATAGGTATAAACTCTAGCTTAAGTAGTGTCTTATTAGAGCCTAAGCGTGCTAACTCTAAGTAGAGTATTATTCTATAATATATTAGCACCTACACTACCTTCGCTCTACTAAGACACTGTACATTAATACAAGAAACTAAGACTACCTAATATAGAGGTGTTTAAGAAAGGCTTATATAAAGACTATACCTAATAGAAAACGCGCGTATAAGCAAAACTCTTTATAAACTAGTAAGTCTACTCTTCTAAAGAAGTCTAAGTACACTATATTATTACTTATACAAAGAGTTAGGCCTTTACTACCTTAAGAATATACGTTACAAGTATAATAGAAGGCTCTTTCTAACTATCTTTAGTATAGCTTTAGAAGTAGCTTAATAGGTTCTTTATAGACTCTATAATCTATAAGAAAGTAATATAGTAGATCTATATAACTAAATAGAGAAAAAGTAAGTTTATTCTCTACGTATAGGCCTTTAACCTAAAGTTTCTAGAAGTAGACCTAGAGAACGTAAGTAATATCTAGAAGATTAACTATCTTAAAAACTCTCTTAATAAGAAATTATTACATTACTAAGTAGGCTTTTAGCCTATAAAAGATAAGTTATATAAGAAATTTGTCTAGAGAATACGCGTTACCTAGAAGAACCTTAAAGCTATAGACTAACTTAGTTTCTATACGCTACTAATAACCTCTCTACATATTACGCCTAGTAATAATAATATAATAGATTAGACTTCTACTATAGTAGCGTTCTAGCCTTATACAAAAAGAGAATTCTAGAGAACATAGACCTAGGTTTAGAAAAGAAGAGAGCGAGAAGACTATTTAAGATATAGGCACTAAGGCTATAAAGTTACTTAGTGCTAGGTTAAGATTAGAAAGTAACTTACTTATATAGAAGAAAAAGAAGCTATAGTCGCTATAGTTACTTCTATAAGAATAGATACTAACTCTAAAAAGTTAGAAAAAGAAAAGCTCTAGCTTAAAGACGTAAGCTAGAGCTAAGTATAGTAAAGTCTTTTTAGGCTGTATAATCTTCTTAGAAGATTCTGTTATAGCTAGTAGTAACCTTCTCTATATTAATAGATATTATAATAAATAGCTTAGAATACGCTACTACTATAGTTAATAATAGTTATTATACTTATAGAATTGTAACTAAGAAGCTTATACAATTAAAGAGCTTACTACGTATAGAGATACTCTAAATCTAGATTAATAGAGTAAATAAGTAGAAGAGCTCTATTAACACTATTATAAAGTTTAACTTAAACGTTAGAGAATTAAAACAACGCACTATAGTATATATTATTTCTATAATATATAATTATAATATAATTCTTAGAAAGTTATAGCTAGAATAAATTAGTAGAATTATTAATTCTAGCTAGTACACGTTAAGGCTACTCTAATATAGTATTACTATACGTAGTATAGAGTTATAGAAAGAGAAAATAGACTTCTCTCTAATCTCTACTATAACCTTTTAACTACACGTATAACAAAATTAGTAAGAAAAGAATAAGGTATAGATATTTATAGTAAGTCTTTATAATATTAAGAAAGCTCTCTAAATTAAAACCTCTTTAATAGTAGAGTAAATTTACTAGTAACTTCTAGAATACCTATAGTTATACGTACACCTTTTCTAATCTAAGAAGAGAGAGAACCTTCTACTCTTATAAGAGCTTAAGGTAGACTACTAACTAGAGCTAGAATAAGAGAATAGTAAGAATCTAAAGATTTTGTATAGACCTCTATATAGTATATTAAGAGATAAACTATTAGTACTATAGAAGATACTATATAAGCTTCTAGACAAAGAATTTATATAAGTAAGTAATTCTTCTATAGCGTTACTAGTTCTATTTATATAGAAGCTAGGTAGTAGTTTATAATTTTATATTAACTATAGAGTGTTAAACGCTATTACTAAGAAGAATTAATACCTACTACCTCTTATTAAAGAAACTCTACACTAAATTAGATAGGCTAAGTAGTACACTAAGCTTAATATAATAGCTACTTTCTATAAGATAAGAATTAAAAAGAGATAGAAGTAGATAATAGTCTTCTAGATAAGATTTAGCTTATATAAATAGCTAGTAACTCTCTTTAGTCTTATAAACGCTCTAAGCATATTCTAGCGCTACGTAAACTAGGTTCTAAGAGACTTCTTAGATAAATTTACCTTAGCGTATCTTAATAATATTATTATCTTTATAGATAGACTACTATTCTAGTACTATAGCTATATATAGGTAGTGCTAGACTAACTTAAAGTAGCTAGACTATAGTTAGAGTTAAAGAAGTGTAAATTTAATATCTAGTGTATAAAGTACTTAGAATTTATTATAAAAGTAGAGAAGAGCGTATCTATAGACTTAGAGAAGGTATAGGCTATCTAAGACTAGAATGCGTCTACTATAGTTAAAGGCGTATAAGAATTTCTAGAATTTATAAACTTCTAATATACTCTACAAGTAAGTTAATTATACAAGTAAGTTAATTACTTCGCTAAGACTCTACTAAAAATTGTAACTATACACTACTATATAATACTATCTAGAACTATAATTAGAAATTATAATAGATTATTCTACTTAAAATCTACTACTATATCTTACTTATAGGTACGTAAGTTATAACTAGCCTTACTACAGCGTCTATAGCGTCTTTGTAATAGTTTGCCTACCTTAATATATACTCTCTTCTTTACCTTCTTTTTATCGCTACGCGCTCTAAACTTCTTTAGAGTTAATAGTTACTAACTATTATTAACTATAAGAGTCTTTTTCTACTATATCTACTTTCTTTTATATAATCTATATTGCGTAGTAGTCTTATTAGCTACTTTAAGCTTAGTAATATACTTTTAGAATAACACTAAAGTATATACTATTATCTTAGCGCCTTTTAAGAGGCTTTTTACTACCTTAACTATTAAAGTAGGTAAGCTATCTATATACCTCTAAAACCTTTTAAGAACTAGCTTTGTTTAAGACTCTAATTCTAGAGTATTACTTAGAGTTTACAACTACTAGAGACTATTCTTAATAGTAGGTAATAGTAGAGTATGTAGACAGATATTAAGTATTAATACTATAGCCTTTAGGTTAAATAGAACTAAGCTAGCGCCTTAAAAGTCTTCTAGAATATTACTTTTTATAATTAAAGTGTTTTAAGTAGCAAGAAAGTATAGTAAGAACTCTGTTTTAGTAATATAAGTAATCTTATTACGTATTAGCTTCTTAGCTTAGCACTTATACGCCTTCTTTAATAGGCTAAAACACCTAACGTTAAGCGGCTATAGTAGATACAATAAGTATAGAGGTATATATAGAGTAATAATCTTTTATTTCTTATAGTATTACTAGAACTTAAGTAAGTTATAGCTCTTATAACTATTAATAACTAGTAGGTAGTAGCTACTAACAACTCTTCTCTTTGTATAATTATTAAAGTGCTCTAGCTACTTAAGACTAAGCTTATTTATTATCTAGCTATTCTTAGAGACTCTAATAACCTAATTATAAAATAGATTCTTCTTCTTATACTAGGTAGAGAGGTAGTGCTTACTAGCAAAGATAATAAAGAGTAGAATTACCTATTCTATAGCGTTAATACTCTAGATAACTATTACCTACTTCTAGTTACTCTACTAAACTATCTTTAGCT